CCGTCTGTACCTTTACAGTCGGCTACTCTCCATTGAGTATTTTACTCACAATACTTAGCTAAAAAGATTAGGGCCTGGCCGACCCTGTGCCTAACAGGCGGCTACCCTTCTTTGACTTAGCACCTACGTTCACCAAGAACTTACCAAGGCCACCGGCCGAATGATCAGACCAGGCGCCTAGTCAACTGATCTAACTTTTAAAAACTAATCCGACCTGTCCCAACATTATAGCAGGCGTCCGGCGGCATCCATTCGGATGAAATTCGTCGCAGAGAGCAGCTCCCTTTTGGGTGGAACATTGTTCTATAAACTAATTACACGGCACCTATACGACTGTCCCAAAGGGCAACCACGTAGCCGTTTTTGAGACAAGGATAACTCTATCACTAACCAAACCAGTGGTAGCAGTTGACATCTGAGTCAGATGACCGCCTGTATTACTTGGGATAAATGCAGGGGGTACCTATTGAGTTAATAGCCAACAAACATTGGCGAATCAAGGGGTCTAGCCGGCCTACGCCGCCTGGTACCTCTACTTCTCAAACAAAAGTGACGGCGACTGAGTAACTCCAAAGTTAACTCATAGTCACTCCTTCAAATTTGGTATGGAACCTAAAAAGTTTGAGTCGTCCGCCTGTTTTATACAAACAAGGGCACTCGAACCCCTATTCCTACTGGATAACCTATTGAGTAAATAGCCAACAAACATTGGTAAATCAAGGGGTCTAGCCGGCCTACGCCGCCTGATACCTTTACTACTCAATCAAGATTGTGACGAAGACTAAGTAACTCCTATGTTAACTTAATAGTCACTCAAACTTAGTACTGAGCCTAAAAGGTACGAGTCGTCCACTTGTTTTTAATAAACAAAGGCTCTCAACCAATACTCTTGCTAGGTTAACAAATAACAAATTAGAGGCCAACATTGGCAATAAAGGGAAACAACCGGTACCCGCCGCTTGTTTTCCTACTTAAATTCCTTGGCTACTTGGTAATTCTATTTACTTGGTCAAATTGAATAAAGAGTTCGAATACCGATTGATTAAATGGCCGACTGATCATCTATCCTGGAAACAGACAACCAGTCGTCCAGGGGCATAGGCGGCATACTTACTATTTGTACCTGTCTTAACGTTCGGCCATACACAACAGTCTGTCTAGTGAGCAAATTTCAAATACTTAGACAAATTTGAACAAAAACAAAAAATTTGATTAAAATGAGCCGGCCATAAAAGACCAGCAGAATATTCAAAACCCCGGCCCCCTGGCCGGGTAATTACAAAGCAAACGGCACGCAGGCCGTGGAAAGAAAAAATATACTTAAAGCTTAAGAAGGGGGCAGTTCAGTATCAGCAGCAGCCGCCTGGTCAGCACTCTTCTTGCTGGACTCGGCCTTCGCTGCATCATCTTTTGATGCCTTTCCCCCAAGTGGCACAAGCGCCACAACAGGCTCTTCCTCCTCCAACGCAACGTCCATCGCCTCTTCTTCAGCAGCCGCCAGGATCTGTTGATTATATATTTCCGAACACTGGCGGTACGTTCTTTCCCATGAGGCAAAGTCGGCACTGGGGAACAGTCGTTCCCAGGTCATGCGTTGGATTTGGGCGGAGTCTTCCACCATCTCCCGGACGAGCTCTTGTTTTTCTTGCTCGGCCTTGTCCGAGAGCTCTTGGGTAAGACTCTTCTCCTGGTTCACCAGGCGTTCTTTTACGTTAGCCAAAGATTTCTCCATGGCTTCGTAAGAGTGCATTTTCTGGCGAAGGGGTTTCAGCTCGGCTTTAAATTTGGTGACGGTCCCCTCCAGCTCGTCAACCTTCTTTTGGGCCGCCTCTAGCTGAGCCCGAACAGCGGCGGTCGCCTGCGCCTGATAATAAAGAAGATCAATGGTCAGTACTTCATTTTGGGCAATTTGAAACATTGCTTTATCACAGCTGGAGGCGGCCATAGCCTTTGCGGCCTTTACCTCTTTGTTTTTCCGATCAATCGGCTTGCGAAGGCTGTTGACTCGGAGCAGGGCCTAAGTACAAAGAAAAACAGGCGTCAGTTTCCAATCATAAGGGTTAACAGGCGTCCTGGAACTTCAAAAGGGTATACCTCAGCTAGGATCCCCGAAATTCCATCGAGGTCAAGGGTGCCGGCACCCTTGACCGCCTCCCTGTCAGAGGGAGGAACTACTTTAACCATTGACTTGGCTACCTCAACCAAGTCAAGTCCCTGGGGGCCGGCTGCATTAAGCAGAAGGAAAAACAAGTTAGACCTAATCAAGAAGGAAGCAAGAGTGAGTTTTTACAAGCAAGTGTCCATACATCTAGGCGGCCCCGCCTGGGTTTTTGAAGAAGTGGCCGGCTGCTTCTCAGCCGCCACTGTTTTCCTGGAAGACCCAGGAGAGCTTGCAACAGTCGTTCTCCGGGCCTTGGGGTCCGGCTGTTGCGAGGAAGAAGCCCTTGGAGTGCCAGACTGAAAACAAAAAGAGTTAGTATATGCATAATACAACTTAAAGGGGAAGAGTTTTCAAAGCTTACCAAGGGTGCTTCCTTGCTGGGGGAGTCGGCGTACGACTGCTTCATTAGCGAAACCCGCAGCATGGCCGCCGCAGTCTTAGATGCTGTTATTTTACTCATGGCGTCGGCTGAAAGAAATAAACAGCAAAGTTAGTAAAAATCCCAAGTAAACAAGGCGTGAGAAAACAGAGTATTCGTCAGGCCGGCTACCTCTAGAGCACCGACTGCCGAGGCCACAGGCGGCCAAGAAGTACTCATCATAGAGCCACTTGAAGCTCGGGACGCAGTGTAGGGGTACTTGCTCTCGTACCCCTGAAGTAGAGTTCACCCTAGTCTCTACTTTGAAGAGTCCTTTGTCTAGGATCTCTCTTTTAGCCTTTGGGGGAACAGGCGGCATGCTGCGGCCGCCTGCAAGAAGAGGCGGATCCCTGTTCCACTTGTTAAAACGTTTGTTCAGCTCCGTGTCTGAACTCTCGATAATAAGGAAGGTGTTCCGCCAATCCTTCCATTTGTTTGCCTTACCTCTCGTCATGAGGTAACCCCTGTGGCTTGTTAGTTGATACCAGCCGGTACCTCCCGACTTAGGGGTCCGGCTGAGATAGTTCATGTGGGCGAAAGCCTCAAAACTTGGCTCCACCCCGTTCAGTTCGCACCCGGCCACATAGCCGAGTACGTTTACCCAAGAGTTGGGGGCTAACTGCCATAACCCCAGATCATACCCATCTAAAATCCGCTGAACAGCCGGATGTAATGGGAAGCGCAGACCAGCTTTGATGGCCGCCACATAGCAGCCAAAACAGCCGTCACCATAGCTGGTACCAGCCGGCCAGACGACAGTATCTTCTGGATCCGGCACAAACAGTAAATACTCCGGGCTCATTTTGTGGTTAGCAATAAAGCTCGCCACGTTGTCTCGCATGGTTGCGATCCGGCCCCGGGGCACCCTGCAGTAGTAGGGGGTGTTTTCCTCTCTGTAAGAGGCGGACGGCTCTGCCCAATTATCCCCCTTCTCCACTGCATGGGAACTTCTCGCCTCTTGTAGGCGGTTATGTTTTTCTTCTGAGTCAGAAGAACTATGGTCAGAAGAACTATGGTCAGAAGAGCTGGAATCGGACTCGTCCCCTGACGAGTCCGAAGAGGACGACTCCTCCCCTCTCCTAGAGGGGCCCGCCTCCTCTCCCTTAGAAGGAGCAGAAGGTAAATTAGACATGTCCACGGTTAGATGAGAAGGGAACACCTTGGTCCCTCTCTCAGAACTGTCAGCTTGACAGTCGCCTCGTTCCACATCTGGCGCCTGGTCAGATGTTTCGCTAAGGAGTACCCTTTGGGAGGAGCCGTCTGAGTTTGATATTCTAGCAGTCTTTTTTGTTCTGGCCATCACGTTCTGCATAGACACAGATTCAGTCGGACTTTGTATAAAGGGCAAAGATGGGTCCAGAAAAGGGCAGGCGGCACTCCTAGTCCTAGATTCAGCCGTCCCCGGTGACCGGCTGATCACTAACTTAGGGCGTGTCGTGTGCTTCCATGGTGCCATTTCAAAAAATAAAAAGAAAATTAAGAGTAAGAGAACTGAGTTACCTGAACGGATGACAGTTGATGAAGTCCTGAAAGTTCGGGTCAGTCGGCTTGTCAGAACAGGCGGTAGGCAGAAAAAGTCCGAAAATGTCAGATCAGGTTCAGGGGTCCGAATGTTCTCGCAAAAATTCTCAAATGTGAAAATGACCGAAGTCAGCACTTCCTTTTATAGGCAAAATGAGAAGGCGAAGGGTCGCTTCCGAATTCAAATTTGGGCGGGAGAATCTCCCGGCCGTCTGCAAGGTGACACCTGTAACGGGCCGTCGCCTGTCACCGTGCGACGCCTGTCACAGGCGACACGTGACCAGTCGCGTGCCACCTGTGAGGGGCAAATGATTAGGGGATTTTTATCCACCAAGCACCGTTTGACAAGTGGACCAACCAGGTTCCGCCACGCGTCCTCCACGGACCACTTAAGACACGCCACGTGTCCACCCATGCCAAATGGGACAACCGGCCATCAAGGCCCATTTCAGTCTAGAAGCCCGATCGGCCCTAGGTTTACCTTAAACCTAGAGAGTTGCACGCTTCCCAAGGCTATAAATACTCGATTAATCCTCATTAATCAAGGGACGGAATAATTAACAGAACAAAGGAGAAACATTACGGAACACACTAATAACCGGCTGATCTCGCTAGCAAAGCAGATTACCTACATTAAATACTCTCACCTAGAGAGACCTTATTACTTTAATTTCTGTATTAATTACTCCTTAATCAGGTACTAACTTGACCGTTGGAGGCGGAGCTCTCAGGAGTCTCCGTTATTTTGCAGGTACAGGCGTCCGGTTCCAGTCTCGGAATTGTAGCTCTCCCGCAGGACATCAGAAAACCCCAAAACAACAGGCCTCGAAATCGAAAAAACTGATGAAATCAAATCTGTAAAGCCCTTTCGATTTTCAAAATTAAAGAGATTGAACTCACAAGATAGTCAAATGTAACTACTTCAATAGCATCCAAGGCCTTTCATAGCATCTCTTTCCATCTACACAAAACATATACTACGTAATTAGATTAGTTCAACATAAAATTCACAGTCATAACTTTAACATTCTTAAACATAACTATATAGAAGATATACAGCATCATTTTGAGTAAAATTACATGCAAAATTCATTAAAATTTACCATTAATTCATGCAAACAAAACTTAAAGCAGTATAAAGAAAATTTCCACTAATATTCACAATTTTCTAATCAAACGTTTTAACATATAGTAATTTCAACTAATTAACTGAAATCTGAAGCAAAATGAGAAAGATGAAAGAAAGAGAGAGTAAACCTGATCATCCAATCGGAAGAGTTTATAAAAAAAATCAGACAACAGATAGTCAGCCTAATAAAATAAAATTCATTACTTCAATTTTATCAAATCAATTCAATTTATTTCTTTCTAAACCTAAGTCAGTCTAATCAAATTCAATTCAATTGAAACCAAATCAATTTCAAATGAAATCAAATCAAATTCGAAGAATTTTTGGAGGTTTTTCAGAGCAAGCTTGTACAACAATGGCGAATTTGTATGTATCTTAGTGTCACAAATGGCAAACTTGTATGCTGACCAAATTGACTTTTCTGTTGCGAGCTCTGTCATCTCTTCAAATGGCCAAATTGACTACGAGTCCTAAATTTAGGCCTTTCTAACGTCCTAAATTTTCCGTTACCTTAGCCAGGTCACCATCTGTACATATCAATAGAGTAAAGCACAAATACAGTCCCTAAACTGTTGTATTTGTGCACTTTTAGTCCCTCGACTTTTGTATGTGCATTTTTGGTCCCTCAACCACCTTGAGGCTTGAGTGGTGTTTTATGATCAAATAGTTTAGGGACTTAGCCTAGTCAGCATTAGTTTAGGGACCATAATTCATATTTTTATTTTATTTTATTTTTTTTGTTAGAATTTATTTTAAAATAGAATCTTTTTACTCCCTCCGTTACGAGTTACTCGCAACAAAGGGAGGAATTGCGGACTCCAATGCAAAACTTTTAAGGGAGTGTATTAAATAGTAAGTGTATTAAATAGAAAGGGAAATTATATGGTCTCAATTTCTAAGGAGACCCATGTGACCCCTTTTTTATTTCTTACCTATTTCCTTCTCTTTTTGGCTGGCAGCAAATTAGAGGGGTTTTTTTCCCCTCCAATTAATTTCCCTCCAAACATTTCATGAACAGTTTGAAATCAATTGAAAACACTTTTAAATTTTTGGGACATTCCTAATTTCAATACCAAAAGCTCCTTATTTAAAGGGGAATTACATGTTTCATTCATTTCCCATACATCATCAACAACACTGTTTCGGTTTTGGGGTGGGGGGGGGGGTGAGGGAAAGCATAATTTAAAGTTAGATTACAAATCAAAAGTTGCCATTGTTTGCAAATTACAAAAACATCCATCCACTAAAATTAGTCCTAATTCCTAATTGATGAGTTAGTAGTAGCATTAGTCCTTTGTACAGAATTAGGCTCCATTGTAAGCTCCAAAAAAAAGGCAGGACAGCTCCACTAACTCAATATTTTGGAAAACTCAATATTTTGAAATGATTTAACATTAAATGCGTGGTAAAAATCAATTAGTAACTATCTATTAAAATTTTTTAAATTAGTTTCTCATAACTTACCATGTTCTTTATATTTCAATGATGTGTTCTTTTATAATTTAATGATGTCCTTTACATTTATAAGTTATGTTCTTTCTGTTTTAATCCGGATGTACCATGCCCATGGTACTCCTGGATGTACGAACCAACCATTGTATATATGAATATGAATTATCAAGTGATCAAGGCTCTACGACAATCGAAAGAAATTGTATTCCCTTTACTGATCATTAATATTCAATTTTTTAAAAGTTTCCTATGATCCCAAAATTATAAGATGTTGATAGTGGAATCTTGCATCTAATTGGAGATCTTTATTAAAGTGTGTAAAAGGAAATGCTTGCTGCAATATTTTAGTATTACGTTACTGTAATGATCATGCAATGGAGTGCCATCAACTGGGTCCTTGTTTTGACGATGGGCGTCAAAATAATACTCCAAGATTGACGAGTGTAACAATGGTGTTGCAAGTGACGGTGTCGAAGATGTAGCTGCGACTTATGAGTTGTTATTTATCGAGGCTCGAAATAGCCTTTCGGTCTTTTCCAAGTAGCAAGTTTGGTCGAGTAAAGGAGCCTAGGAGAATTTGATCATGTTAGCTAGCAAGTAGCAACAGTGATCGGACTCGTCCCAAACATCAGGAAAGTTCCTCTCAAATTTATTGTTGTTGATATTTTCTAACTTTATATAATATATGTTTATTATATGTGCCCCGAGTATACATAATTTATTATTATGATGTATTACACTGCAATGTGGGGGTTGAGTTAGTCTTTTTCATGTTGGTGAAAACCTTGAGATGAGAACTCTTTGAGATGTTTTGTCTAGCTAAGTGCTAATTGTTTTGCTAATGTGCAAGTACCTTTGTAACACCCCCAAATCTTCCTCTACGGAAATACTGGTATAATACGCATAATTATATTGTAGAGATAGACTTGGGCGTATTACCGTCGCGTGATTACGCAAGGCTACTCAAAATACTTAACTCAACAACAAAACTTGTAGCGGAAACTCAACTTTCTTTTATCAATACTTATAAAAATAGTAACATTGTTATGAGTGCTAAAAAATAAAGACAAGACAACATTTCTAAACTAGGCGAAGCAAATCTCATGACTCACATATGCTCATTCATGACTCCACGTGAAAATAATCAACACTACTTACCATTACGGTAAACAGGGCGAACCAAAACAAATATGAAATACGGATTAGCAAATTATGCTAAGTACGATAAGTGCAAGATAGTGTAAACTCAATTTATTTACAAACATGCTTTTAAAACCAGTTCCAATACACTAGTAGAAAAATACAAAAAGGCAACCCCCAAAAGGCACCGGTTCAGGCCAAACCGGTGGCAAAAATGGGCTAAAAAATGCGCGGCTTAATGAACCAAGACATATGGCACCGATTCACTTCAAACCGGTGCCAAAAACTTAAAGGCCACCGGTTTGAACCGGTGCCTTTGTGAACCGGAGCAATAAACATATTTAAAAAAAAAACATGTCCCATTTAATAAACCCCCCAATCCTAACGCTCCTCTCAGCTTCTTTCTCCCCTCTCATCCTCTTTCTCTCTCCTCTCCTCTTCTCCCTTCTTGATCTCCTTCTCCTCCTTCTATTTCTATTTCTCTTTCTCGATCTCCTTCTTCTCCTTCTATTTTTCTTTTTCGATCTCCTTATCCCTCACCACCACGAAGACCACATGCAACACTAATTTTAAACAATTTTCTGGGTTTTTGAAGACCACATGCAACACCGATTTCAATCGAATTTCTGGGTTTTGTTTTAATCGATTTTCTGGGTTTTTGTTGTAATCGATTTTCTGCGTTTTTGTTTTAATCGATTTTCTGGGTTTTTGTTTTAATTGATTTTTAATCGATTTTTTTTAAAAAAAAATTTAATCGATTTTAATTCTTTTTTTTTCTGGGTTATTGTTTTGATCGAGTTTTTAATCGATTTTAATTTTAATCGAATTTTTAATCGATTTTTTTATTTTCATCAAATTTTTAATCAATTTCGATTTTGATTTTTTTTCAGATTTTAATCGATTTTTTTTTCGATTTCAATTTTTTTTTTGTTTTATGGGTTTTTTCGAATACTTGTTTTTTTCGATTTCTAATTTTTTTCCTGGGTTTTTTCGATTTCAATTTTTTCAAATTCTGGGTTTATTCGAATACTGGGTTTAAATCGATTTCAATTTTTTCTGGGTCTGAATTTTTTTTCAATTTTTGGCATTAAATTCTGGGTTTTTTTTTCGAAGCTTAATTATTTTAATGGTTTTTTTTTTGTTTTAATTGGTGCAGGTATGTTAATTAGATCTGAAATCGAATAAGCAAGATACAAGAATGAATGGGTTATTTATTTATTTATTTATATTGTAATTTTTTTTTGTATTTATATGTTGTAATTTTTTTTTATTATGTATTGCAAATTTTCGATGATATTGATGTTGCAAATTTTTGATAATATTGATGTTGTTTTAATCGATATTCGCTTTATGTTTTGATGTTGTTATGTATTTTAGGCTATTTAATTTAAGTGGAAAAAAAATTTATATATTTTTTGGCACTTTTGGCACCGGTTAACCGGTGCCAAAAACAACAAAATATTTTTTTTTGGCCATTTTTGGCACCGGTGAACCGGTGCCAATTCCGAGTTTTGGCACCGATTTGAACCGGTGTCTTTTTAAACCACTTATTGGCACCCCCCACATTGACACCGGTTCAAACCGGTGCCAATTTCATTTTTTCACGTAGTGATTATTAATCCAATAAATTCCAAACTCCTTATTCCAAAACCTATTCCAATTATAAATATTCAAAATAATAGGTATCCTTTATTAAAAACCAATTTCTTTTAATCCAATTCCTCACCCAAGTGTGCACACCCCCCAAGCTAGTCTCCTTATATTACAAGGCTATTCTAGAGGAAAGACCCGGTCATACAAAGTCATAGGCCTTATCAATAAACCAAATCCGCATAGTGGGATTACTAACATGCTTATAAAGCATTAATAATAATAATAATTCAATGGTTCAATAAATCCTTTTAATATCTAATAGTTCCAATATAATTCAAAATTAATTCCACATGCTTTCAAAATCAAACCTTATAAATAAATACTTAATTGATAATTCTCATATTAATAACCTTTCAAAATCAACAACTCTTCCTTAAAAAACCTTTATTATATTCAACAAACCTGTGAAAATTAATTCCTTTATTTAAACACGATAAGTAATCCAAACCACTCAAAACATGATTTAAAAATCAATCATTCAAAATAATTTTATTAAAATCAATACCTTCAAACATAATTGATTTCAAATCATAATCCAAATCAATTTAATTCAATTACCAATCAAATCATGTAAAACATTTTATTCAAACCAATCACTTTCAGAGGTATCTAGCCACCTAAACGTACCTTGATCATTGCTAGAAAAACCACACAAAAAGAACCTCAAGAACCTTGATTCCGAATATCAATCAACACTTCGCACTTTCAAAGTTCAATCATGAATACCCCTTGCAAATAACATAACCATAAGGTTATCACAACATAAACTCAAATCTAATGTGCATGGACTATAAAACTCTTTTAAAATAATACTTAAATATAAAATTATAGCTTTGAAATAGGTATTTGTATTTTAGAAAACTAACCATGAAGAAGATAAAGGAATAGGTTTAAAGAGAATTGAATTTTCGTTGGAAAGAATAGAGAGAACTTGCATAGGCCATAACTTCTTCAATATAAATTCGAATTGGGTGATTCTTAAGCCTAACCTCAATAATTTTTTGAGAGGAAGAATCTTCTGTGAAACGTTAATACCCCAAAAGCTGATTAAAAATGCCCGAAAAGTGGCTTCAAAGGTATACGGGCTGATTTGTAAGAAAAGTATGAAAAAGTTTAGGGAAAAGAAGAAGAAGAGAGAAGAAGACAATTGATTTTTGGTGTGAATAATATGATAGGTATAAGGGGGTA